CTATTGCATGTGTAAAAATTTCAAGTTGAACAGGTTAGCGGTTTTCTTGGAATTTTGATGACAAGAATTGATTTGTAGTCTCAAACTTTGAGAAACTTGGATAACATCATTTGTGACCTAGTTTAATGACCTTGACCTTCGACCTTGAAAATTTCACTTTTTCAGACCTCAGTAGGTCTTTTGTAATTAAGCTGACCTAAATTTAAATCCAAAATATCAATTTAGAAAATCAACTTTTTTGATCTTTTCAAGGTCACTGAAGGTGAATGAAAGGTCAAATTTGTGACCTAGTTTAATGACATTGACCTTCGACCTTGAAAATTTCACTTTTTCAGACCTCAGTAGGTGTTTTGTAATTAAGCTGACCTAAATTTAAATCCAAAATATAAATTTAGAAAATCAACTTTTTTGACCTTTTCAAGGTCACTGAAGGTGAACGAAAGGTCAAATCTGAAATCTAAGGTCAGATTTAAACTTCTGAGAACTTGTAGATGTTTTTTTAAAAAAAATTGGTCAATTTGGAGCAAGTTGAAAAATTCAAAATGGCCACCAAATTGAAAAATTCAAAATGGCCACCATGTAATTCAGCCAGCATACCCAAAACCTAATCAGATCTTGGCAATAGTCTGCTCTTGCATCTGTAAAAATTTCAAGTTGAACGGATAAGTGGTTTTCCAAATTGAAAAATTCAAAATGGCCACCATGTAATTCAGCCAACATATATATATCTTTTATTGACTCTCTGATGTCATTGCAATGACATATTAGTCACTACAAACTACAATATACAAAATTAAACTAAGACTAAACTAACTACTTCATAGGAAATATACAAAGCTGTAAAATACAATTACAGCATCACAAAATGTAAAATACAAAAATGAGATAATTGTAAAATACAGATACAACATGACAGAATTTAAAACATCAGTGTGATGTATCATTGTTACAATATTAATCCAGTTTTTTGAATGAATGATAAATGAACTTTGCTAGATGTAAAATTACATAAGAATTTTTATGAGACAAAAGCTTTTTGAAAATAAAGTTAGGACTTCCTACAAAATTAAATTGCGTAAGGGTGTCAAACAAAAGTTTTCTCTCTGTTGTATTTTTCTTACACACCATGATAAAGTGTTGTTCATCTTCTAAAATACCACACATATTACATAAACGTTCATCCAAAGGTCTTGGCTTAGGCTTTAAATGACGACCAATTTCTATATGTAATTTGTGTGAACTAAGCCTAAATCTACTTATTGCTTGTCTGTAATTTTTATTTTGTATATTTAAGTAACCCTCTTTTTCAAAGACATTTTTGAATGTTATGTAAGTTCTTAAAACAGGATATTTGAAAATATCTTTCTGCCACTGAGACTTATAATTCTGATACAGTTTTTTTGTTATCATCTTGATAAAAATATAATCATCATCGATCTTTTGAGTTTCCCAATATGAGAATAAATCACATTTTTTCAAAATATCAATGATTTTGTTTGACCAAGTGCCTTTAAAACCCAGTTGGCTCATTTCACGGTCATGCGTATATGTTTTATGAAGAATGTTTCCAGGTGATAGATGAATTAAACGGAGCCAATATTTAATTAACTTAATTTCAAAACGTATTTTTAATGGGTAACGTCCTAATTCTCCATAGACTGCTGGTGTTGCTGTTGATTTTTTAACACCTAATAAACTTTTAAGAAAAGATAAATGCATTGTCTCTATTGTCTTAAGATGTTTTTCATTAATCCACACCTCTGAAGCATAAGTTAGGATAGGTTCAACTAAAGAGTCAAAAAGGTGCAATGCAAGATTAACTGGAATGTCATTAAATTTTTTATATTGCTGTTTAACTTTAAACAAAGCTTTTCTTGCCTGCTCTTTTAGATAACATACATGCTGGTCAAAATTCTTAGTTTTGCTGAATACACATCCTAGATATTTATATTGCTCAACACTTTCTATTGCACTATCATTGAATGTGAAAACTATATCAAATTTTGAGTTAAAAACAATTGATTTTGTCTTCATTGTGTTAACTATAAGATGATATCTCTTACAAAAATCAAAAAGACAATTGAGCAAAGTTTGGGCGCCATCTTTACTATTTGACATCAAAATAAGATCGTCAGCCCAAAGTAAGTGGTTTAACATATTTCCATCAAATTGAATACCATTTTCTTTTGGTAGATTATCTTTTAAATCATCAAGGAAATGGTTGAATAAATAAGTACTAAGTACAGAGCCCTGCATTACTCCGACATTTGTTTCGAAAGCAGGGGTGACACCTTCTTTTAATTTCAGGCATGCTTTTGACTTTTCATACATACTTGTTATAACCTTGAACATATTAGAATCAGGTGATATTCCCGATTTACATAGTTTATACATAAGTGCCACTCTATTTACATAGTCAAATGCTTTTCGAAAATCTATCATAATACAGAATAATGGCTTTTTCATAAGCTTATAACGGGTTATGATTGTGTTTAAAATATATAAATTATCTGTTGTTTGATGTCCAGATTTATAAGCACCTTGAAGTGGATCCTGAATATCTAACATTTCGGCATTAAAAACAAGTCTGTTTTGTATTACTCTATCAAAGATATTTCCTATACATGCTAAGACATTTATTCCCCTATAGTTATCAGGATTAAATCTACAACCTTGTTTAAAGAGAGTTGTTAACATACCTATACTCCATTCATTAGGGTAATCACCATGAAAAAAGATGTGATTAAAAAGGGATGTAAATTCAGGGACTAATATACTGCAATTTTTAATGATATTAGAAGGTAACCCATCAATTCCAGGAGCTTTGTTAGCTTTAACCTTATTAAGAGCAGCATATACTTCAAATTCTTTTATACTGCCATTAAGGACTTCATGACTTATTCTTATTTCCCCTGTGCAAACACCATTTGTATCATATTCATCAATAAATAATTGCATCTCTTTTAATGCTTCGTCATCAAAATAGTCAATTTTGGGGTTCTTACCCAACTTTTCAAATGCACAAAAAAGTTCTGATGCCTCAATAGGGATTTCATTTGTATTACTGCTTCCTGGAATACTGTTTATCATTTTCCAGAATTCTGTTGGATTTTGAGATTTGAAAGAAATGAGAGATTTTAATAGATTTGACTGGTATGCTCTTTTTTCATGTTGTTTAGTTTGATTGTACTTTCTCTGTAAATCAGCAATAATGTTATTTGGTAGCTTCTGCTTAATGGCAGAATGTAAATCCTTTTTCAATTTCTTGCATTCACTATTAAACCATGGGTTCATTGGGAACTTTTTAGTACTTTTCTTTAGATGTTTAAGTGGGAATATTTTATCAGAAGTGTCATATATTACATGTTTAAGAGACTGTAGTAAACAATCTGAGTTGGTATTTGAACCAACATCAACATAAAATTTCTCAAGTAAACCATTGTTAATATTAGCATCCAATAGCTCAGTGAATTGTTTCTTTAATGTAGGATCCCATTTAAAGTAAGAGTAAGGTAAATTCTGCATGTTTTTGCTGGCTCTATCTTTAATTTTGAACTGACCTAGGTTGAGATTAAAATGTATAGGACAGTGGTCAGAATCCGGATGCCGTTCATGTACTTTAAAGTCTGAAACTGTGTTGAGAATATCAGCTTGAACTGCAACATAGTCTAATACAGATTTCCCTTTACTTGGATCAAAATCATTTTCATTTATATATCTATAGTATGTAAAGTGACCAATATTTTTATCATGAAAGAATCTCCCATTTAGTATTCTTAAATTAGATGCCTTGCATAAACTTATGAATTCATTGCCATGTGTCTGGCTTATTGCCTTTAGATTTTTATCCATTGAGACACGATTATGAAGAGAGGCATTTAATTCATGATGATTATTTATATGGTGGTCATTTAAAAAATAAGAATTGGTAAACTGATCATTTGATCCATGAACATCAATATTCAAATCTGACAACTGGGCAGTACGAGCGTTCATATCTCCACATATGATTGTTTTACCAGATAGTTGATAAGAAGCAATCGATTTCTCCAAGATGTCAAAATTGTCAAAATTTTCATAAGTTGAACCTTTATGTGGCATATAAACAAAGCATATATAAATATCATTCTCTAAATTATATAAAGAAGACTTAACTCTTATCCATACAAAGAAATCATGAGTCTGTTTTAACACCTCAATTGAACTATACAATTCATCCTTTATGAAGACAGCAATGCCTCCAGAATAAACATTTGAGTTACTATTTTTAGACTTTCTTGCCAGATTATGTACAGTATAACCATTAAATGATAAGCTGTCACATGGATCTAACCATGTCTCGCTTAACAGGATCACTGCATATTTACTGAAAAGCTCATAAATATCACATCCATCATATAATTTATCAGAAATTCTGTTAATATTCCAAAATAGAAAATTTATATCTTCTTGACTTGTATTATCATTTGTTTGGTTTAAATGTGCTTTTGTGTTGTTGTCAGTTGATTTGAGCCTATAGCGCAGATCATGCGACTTGGCATTCAACTGCGTTGTTACAGAACTAGAAAATTGAATACTATTTACATTTTGGGAAACCTGACCTGATGTGGAGTTCAAATGTACATTGTGAGGGCCTAAATCAAAGTTTACATCACCTTCACTTGTATTATCATTTGTTTGGTTCAAATGTGCATTTATGTTTTTCTCAGTTGATATGAGCCTATAGCGCAGATCCTGCGACTTGGCATTCAACTGTGTTGTTACAGGACTAGAAGATTGAATACTATCTACATTATGGGAAATCTGACCTGATTTGGTGTTCAATTGCATATTGTGAGGGTTTGAATCAGAATTATTTACAGTCTCATTATCTATATATAATGAGGTTTCATTTATCATCATATGATTTGATTCATGGAAATGAATAGCATTGCATTCCATCTCATTACAAGAGTCACTCATACATTCTGTGTCTATGATACTATCACACTGATCAGTGTTTATAACTTGAGCCCAGTTCGAGTGTAGTGAGGGTTTCCAATTCTTGCTGCATCTGCATAGGAGTTGTGTGTTGAATTAATGATAGACAACATCGCATCTACCAACCGAGTTCTTCCAGTGTGATTAAAGTGGAGTTTGTCATTAAAAAGTATGTTCATGTTGGGGTTCTGTGATGTTGAATCATTTATTCTGTTGATATTAATGAAATGGAAGCCTTTTTTCATGGCAAAAGACTCCATCTCTCCATTGACATGGTCAATTTTGATATTCATTTGTTTGACTTCTTGTGGTTTGGCATGATCTCCCCGGTGATGCAGTCCACACAAGGTTATTTTAGAAGTTGGATGCTGGTTTTTGGCTGTCATTGCAAGGTTTTTTAACTCATAAATAATGGTTTGTGCAGAGTCATCTTTTACATTGTTTGTTCCAAAACCGAGGAATTTGTGATCTGTTGATCTACCTATGTCACCTTGTTGTATGACTCGGGTTGCATATTCAATGTTAGCACCACTATATACTGATGAAGTCACTTTCATGCTTTTCCCTTTTGATCTAGCATTCATAATACCCGCCAATTTCTTCCCATTTGAAGAGTACATTATATGGACAGAAGTAGGGAGCTGCTTGTGACCATTGTTGAATTCCCTTGGTGTTGGCTTAGGGGGGTTCTTTGGAGCAACTTTAGCTGCTTTGTTAGAGGGTCTCTTGTTGGTAGTTGGTGAGATACCTTGTTTGTCATGGGTGGGTAATCCCTTTGAAGCAGAGTTTGGGGGTGTATTTATGACAGGCAATGAGGTATTCTTAGTGACAGAGGTCTTGGAAGTCCTGGTCTTTGAAGTTGGTCGTCCCTTTGGAATAACTGTTGGGGGTGTCATTGATTGTGGGAGTGACTGATTGAAATCATGACAACCCATCTGTTGAAATCTCTCTATAAGAGCGACATTTTTTCTGTGTTGGGTTGCAAGATCTGCTTTTAACCCCTGTATTGTCGTAATTTGCCACTTCTCATTTAACTCATAGCATTCTAGCTTAGTTGCTATATCTCTCATCTCTTGCTCATGAAGTTGTTTTGCCATCTTGATGTCATCTTCACTCTTCTTGTCAGCTGCTTCAAGCCTATAGTGCAGATCCTGCAACTTGGCATTCAGCTGAATTATTTGTCGACTATGTTCCACAGACTTCTCCTCAAGTCTCTTTTCAAGAGATATAATCCTCGTCCTAAGTTTTTTGTTTTCACTTTGTAACTCTTGTGTTATGCCCGTGTTTTCAGGTTTTGAAGTAGATTCTGTCTGAGTAGGAGATTTATTTGACAATTTGACTGTTGCTGGTTGTGGTTCATTCTGAGGAAGTGGTTCTTTGATATCTGGCTGAGTTTCTGGAATAACAGTAGGCTGTATAAGGGACTGAGATAAAGGTTCTGGGATGGGATCATCAGTGTCAGTTTGAGTGTTGGGTATAGTATCATTACCCAAGAAGAAAATAATGCTGTCCTCACCAATGTCTATTTCCTTAGACTGGCTAATGAAAATATCCTCTTGCGTCTGTGCTGGTGATGTACTACATGGTGTTGATGTAGATGGCAGAGATGTAGAGTATGAGTCAGAGATAGGAGTTTGTTTCAATGAAATTAATGTACCTTTGATCAAATCAAAATCATTGTCCTTCCAATCCTGTAGTTCTTCTCCAAAGACAGTGATAATGCCTGAATCACCAATTTCCACTGTCACATGATTTAATACGGTTATTTTAGTTCCATGTTTGATCCGTGTTGTTGTTGTTTTCATACTTTTTCGCTGATAGAACTGCTTGAAAGCCTCTAACCACAAAAGTGTTCTTTCTGTGTAGAATACCAGATATACCCAAAACCTAATCAGATCTTGGCATAAGTCTGCTCTTGCATCTGTAAAAATTTCAAGTTGAACGGATAAGTGGTTTTCCTGGAATTTTGATGACAAGATTTGTTGAAAAATTCAAAATGGCTGCCACGTAGTTTACCCAGCATGCCCTTAACCTAATCAGATCTTGGTACTAGTCTGCTCTTGCATCTGTAAAAATTTCAAGCTGAACAGGTAAGCAGTTATCCTGGAAATTTGATGACAAGATTTGGTTTATGTGCCGCCTGCCCGCACGCCCGCCCAACAGCACAAGACGACGACAATATAGCACTTTTTCAAAGTGCGATAAAAACTACTATTGTTTTTGGCGATACCTTAATTAATGGTGTGAATACTACAATGTACATGTAATTCGCTGTACCAACTCCAAAATTAAATACCTCGGTAATCTAAAGCTCGTAAGAAGCTCCCCATCATCAAAGATTTCGAGGGGATTGCTACGATCCCTAAACAATTGCCCTCGTCTTAGTACATGCGTTCTTTCTTTTACGTAATAATGACGCATTGGCTTTTGAAAATGATTTACGTTGAACATATACGAAAGATACGTTGCTGTTTACGTTTGGACAACTAAAAATTAATGGCATTTTCATACCTATCTTTGGGACCTGCTAGATATTTGAAGATGTCAAGCAAATGACGAATAATTTTGACATTATACGCATTATATCTAAAACAAGTGTTTCACAAAATCTCATGGTAAATTGGATATCAAGCGTATGAATAAACCGTGTTTTAAGCCTGGACGTAAAGTTACACGGTGAAGATACTTGACGTAAATATTTTGTAAGATCCGCAGGACTTTACGTTCGTCGTAAAGTTACGTTTGCTTTATGAATACCAAAATAAGTTTCCGCAATACGATACGTTGACGTAAGTCATACGTTGGCTTTATGAATAAGGCTTCTGTACAAGTTTTACTATATTTTTATACATTTTAGTATTGACTGCAACATGCTTACAGAGTTTACTCCTTGAATGAATAAAAACACCCTTAGAGAATAAGATATGATCAAAATAATAATTCAATAAGCAACATTAAAAACTGAAAATGATCAGTCCCTGGATAACTATCATGAGACTTTTTAATTCATCCATTAATTCAAATAGCATGTTAGCAAAAGCGAACTATAATCCTTTATTGGCTTGTGGTTGCACAGAAGATTGATCCAGAAATGTAATTCTAGCATGAAACACAGGAAAATACAGAATGGCTTCTTTGGAGTTAATTGCTCATCATGGGATCATAGCAAGCTTTCTAAATCAGAGAAAGGGATAATTCACAAGGGAGATTTATGGGATTTCTGAATAGTTGAATGCAACAGGATTAGTTACAGGTGAGATATCAATTTCTGATTTGTTTATGTTGAACTGGATGTATTATAAATATACAGGAAAATCTGACTTGGGATCCTTAATGTTCTCTTTGTATAAGAATTTTAGAGTGAATATTTTCCTATGAAGTCAGGAAAGGGGAATTGCTCAAGTTCATCACATCTTTGGGGGGGGGTGTATAGGGGGTTTTGGAAATGTACAATATACAATATCTCTATACACCCCCCATCTTTGACTTACAATCTATGTGTTCCACGCAATTTGAGGCAAAATCAGCTAAAAATGAAAAAATCCATGAAAAGTGCCTGAAACTTGCCAGATGGCAGCTCCCTCAGGCTACGTAAGATTACGTTATAATATAACCTGATTCTCAGGGTATTTTAAAATCTAAATTGGAAGAGAAAGCATTGGATTGGCATGGAAAAGGAGACAAGACATGTAGTAAACACTTTATATTGTATAGATATGCCAAAAAATCATACTACCAAACAAAAACCTTGTTAAGAAATATCAAACCACTTAAAACTTCGAATGAAACAGTGACAGTGATGGGCTAGGATTCCACTAATTTGTTTTTTTATTGAAGTCAAAGTGGTTTATAAACATATGGAGGTCATGGTGACATTTAAGTCTCTTGAGTATTGAATAGGTGCTGTAAATAGAAATAAACACACAGTAATATATGATGAAGGAAGACATTTTCCAGATGAAAGTGAAATCTTAAGTCCTTATTAATGTTATTTAAAAGTAGTGGGAAGTAAGGGGGGGGGGGGGTAAGGTCCTTATTAATGTTATTTAAAAGTAGTGGGGAGTAAGGGGGGGGGGGGGGGGGGGGGTAGGGTCCTTATTAATGTTATTTAAAAGTAGTGGGGAGTAAGGGGGGGGGGGGGGTAGGGTCCTTATTAATGTTATTTAAAAGTACTGGGAAGTAAGGGGGGGGGGTAGGGTCCTTATTAATGTTATTTAAAAGTAGTGGGGAGTAAGGGGGGGGTAGGGTCCTTATTAATGTTATTTAAAAGTAGTGGGGAGTAAGGGGGGGGGGGGGGGGGGGGGGTAGGGTCCTTATTAATGTTATTTAAAAGTAGTGGGGAGTAAGGGGGGGGTAGGGTCCTTATTAATGTTATTTAAAAGTAGTGGGGAGTAAGGGGGGGGGGGTAGGGTCCTTATTAATGTTATTTAAAAGTAGTGGGGAGTAAGGGGGGGGGGGTAGGGTCCTTATTAATGTTATTTAAAAGTAGTGGGGAGTAAGGGGGGGGGTAGGGTCCTTATTAATGTTATTTAAAAGTAGTGGGGAGTAAGGGGGGGTAGGGTCCTTATTAATGTTATTTAAAAGTAGTGGGGAGTAAGGGGGGGGTAGGGTCCTTATTAATGTTATTTAAAAGTAGTGGGGAGTAAGGGGGGGGGGGGTAGGGTCCTTATTAATGTTATTTAAAAGTAGTGGGGAGTAAGGGGGGGGTAGGGTCCTTATTAATGTTATTCAAAAGTACTGGGGAGTAAGGGGGGGGGTAAGCATAAGAATGTAAGATTGAAAGAAATGCATTAGAATATCTGATGAGAGACAACAACATAAATGATTTTTCGAAACAACTGGAAAAATTGTCTATTGCTTGCTCCTAATAAAACCCCTGAATGACATGTAGAAAACAAATTGACAAACCAGGTGATTAATAAATAGTCTATAATAGCTGTAATATTGATTAAAATGAACTGATTATAACATGACAAACCAATAACAAAACAAGTACGAAGCAATAATAACATTACAAGCCTATCAGTATCAATACGACATGACCCGTAATAAACCCATAATAATACATAGTACATATTCCCATTGCAGTCTGCCAATAAAAGAAATTAATTAATTGTTCATTCTTGAACTCTCAGGGCATCACCGACCTTATCCATTGGCATTTCAAATTATTCAATTCATTTCCTCCCCGTAAAATATGTCAGAGTGAACACCAATGCTAATTAATGAACAACTGTCTCTAGTGAATATCACTTCTTGGAATCTAATCCAATGACATCTGTATAAAACCTCTCTCCAGTAAAAAAATTACAGTGAACAGAACAACTTGTCCAGATGCCACTAGGACTGGCCAAAAGTTTGCATGTGTTCACATTTCATGGTTTCTTAACATGGAAGTCTTTATAGGACTAAAAAGTGTACACATCGAGAGGTGCTCACAACAGAGAGGTGTTCAGATATATAGGTTTTACTGTATAGTATATACTTCAAATGGTTGGGGCAAGCATGAAAGAGTTTAACAGGCCCGTAGCCAGGGGGAGCGGAGGGATGCAGTTTTCATCATTCTGAGCACTTTTCGCATGATTTTTAGCCAAATGTTTCAAAAACCTCCCCCTTGGCAAAAGTTCCTCCTTGGCAAAACCACTCCCCCTTGGCTACGGGCCTGTTTAATGGAGACAGTCTTGCTATAAAAAAATTAATCACAGTCAGCAGATTTTGTATTAGTAAAAGGTACAGTAACTTGATGCCTGTCTAATCTGAATCCCACTTGGACACAAAGGCCAAAAGTCTAAGATATCAATCTTAGTTTTTCTGTAGAGGAGCTTAATTTCTGTCTATACCATACCATTGACCCTCCTTCATCTTTTCTACCTTTAGGCTCAGAGCCTAGTAGATGTAACTCTCAATTAATTGAAAAGGTACATTGTTTCCTCTGTTGAGGGAAACATAGTAGACATTGGAGAATACAAGCAGAAACGTGATGCAAGGCTAGTTTCATTACATCTGACATAAATGCACATTGTCACAAATCTATTTGGAATGAAGTCTAAAATGATCTTACAGAACATCAGTTTCTCTTCCTTCATGAACAGTAATGAGCCAAAAATAATATGACATTTCCTTTACTAATTTCATTCACAAAGTCAACCCACAAAAATATTGTCACTCTGCAAAATATGGACTTATAAAGGCATATCAGATGAAGCTTCTTTTTAAAGGAGAAAAACAAAGGGTATTATGCTTTTGAAGTCACGAAAATCAACAAGGCATTAACGTGCAAAATGTCACCACTTGCCATTTGCTAAAGACGCTGACTACTGTTACAGACGCTGACCATTGTTACAGATGTCAACTGCTGTTACAGATGCCAAACTCAAACTGCCGAACACTGTCCATAGAGAAATTGGTTCTGTAAGTGACATAAAAATAAGAAAAAAAGCACCCAGAATTGATCATTCCCTGTTCATACAGGTATGTTCGTGCGAGGTGATATTACATTAAGAGAATCAAAGGCTACCGCATCATGTAACAACTCACTACAAAGGCGCTAGGTCTTAATATTACTTAGAAGCCTAGAACAATACAAGCCATCCAAATTGGATTAGCATTTCATGTAACTACAACCTCCACTATAATCTACAAAAGGCAATAATCTGAGGCAAATTATGCCATTATGTTGTAAATAGGCTCAGTTGGGAGCAATTTATGAGCTACTTAATGTATAATCAGGTAAAACAGTTTCATAAAATCAAAGAAAGCACCATTCTGATTTATTTGTGTCCCTTTTATCTAATGCTAGTGAATCTCATTGAATAAGTGATAGTAGAGGCTGTATTCCCCATAGGCCCCATGTTATAAAATCACAAAAAGTGAAA